CAGTGTCTGTATCTACGAAATGGTCACAATAGCTGTACGTATGTCACAGGCTGCTGTGAAGACCACGCAGATTAACCCAACAGAGCCCTGGACGGTGGGCACCCAAATGCACTCGCTAGATGTCGCTAAGATTTCAGACCCTTGCAGAGCCGGCTCGATTACTCTGCATTAATCATTTGTCAGTTTTGCTCAGAAACCTGGTTTTTGATGATCTGCCCTTCAGGGCTCTTTTGGACATGCAACACTGTTAGAGAATGAGTCTTAAGGTTCCTCTGAATCTGATTAAATCCATTCCGTGCTGTTAGAGTTGAGCTAGAAAACTCCTGGCCAGTGCCAGACGTATTTGTTGAATGGCCTCTTTACTGACGATTTCAGGAAGATGAGGCTGCTGGTGGGGCAGCCAAGATGACAGCATTGATTAACAAAGGGGCATATTGTCTGGCACATTCTTCTCTGATCTAACGCTCCTCCTGCCTCAGAAGGAACTGTTCTAGAATGGAAAGTTTCCACCATAAACATCTGCTTGCCAGACCTGCCCCAATGCGGCAGCCACCACTGGGGGCCGGCGGGCCCGGAGGATTTTCCGCTGGATGGGAGAGCTTCTTGACGAAGGGCACAACCACACTTCAGGTTTCTCACAGGAGACAGGGCGGCACACTTCTGATGGGGGCTCTTTGTAAAGATAAAAAAGGTTTGCTCAGTCCTCCACCGGAGTCATTGCATTTCTATCTTTTGATTCAGAAAAAATAGCTGATGTCAAGAAGCTACTAGGGTGAGTGCCCACTGGATCCTTAGCAGCTCGGGCTGGGTGGTGGTCCGTGGACACTGATCCGGCAGGCCCTGCCCTGTGGCATCTGGACAGGCAAACGGGCATCATTCACGCAGCTGCACACATAGAGCGCCCACCACATGGGCCTCTCTGCCCGTCCTGTTTGGGGCTGCACACTGCTCTCGGTGACTGTGGAAGTAACACGGATGACGGACGTGAGCCCTGTGTAAGCAAGGCGGACGACACTGACCAGTGACCTGCAGGGCAGGCTGTGGCGAGCAGAATGGCTGGAGACCTGCGGGGATCCTGCTCCGCACAGCCGGATCATCCCATGTACCCCCAGATCCCGAAAGCCGGGTTGTCTGTAATGTTTGCAGGTTTGGGGGCCCCCTGTGAGCCATCCAAACTGTCACCTGGGAAGAACTGACTTGCAGGCTCTGCTGGGACCCTGGCCTCAAATTTTTCAGGTCTGGAGAAATGGTCCCTTTGTTTTAATCAAAGAAATCCTGTCTCCTCAGAAACAGCCCAGGCCTTTTTCAGCAAGTGGAGACCTAGGTGCTCCGCATGACGCTCTCCATTAATGCGTGAATATTTTGAAAAGCCACTTGGACCTTCCTGAAGTTCAGCTACTCCTTGTCATTTCGTGTTCGTGGGCTTTGTGCAGACAACCGGCGAGCAGTCCTAAGGCCCATGTGTCAGAGCTCACGCCATGGGTCCCCTCTAAGGGAGAGCTCTGGGGCTGAGAAGCAGCAGGCATGACCAGAGCTGGTACCCGGGACTGTGACTCCTGAGTGACAGTGGGGGATGACCAGCTGGGGCTTGTGCCAAACAGGAGCAGAGAGGGACGCAGAAGCCGGAGTTCCTTCTGTACTGTCTCCGGAAGAGGCAGCACCGACTGTGACCTTCCCACGTGCCGGACACTGCACTGCGGGGCCAGAGGTCGATAGTGGGCCCTCGGTAATAACGGCTTTTGGAGGGGCGTGGGGCAAGGGAATGAATTGGGTATTGCTTTTAGTTCACACTCCTGGGTTCCCTGGGGGTCACTCTGCAGTGGGACTAGGAATGTTTTCACCCACGTGGCTGCCCAGAGAAGATTCCCTGCTTTGTGTCCTCAGTGGGCAGAGACCCAGCTAGTGTAGGAGGGGTGCCAGGTCCCCGGGGACACCTCCCTCACCCCCCAACCCTGCCACCAACCTAGACCCATACCCAAATAACCCTGCTCAGCCCTCCATTCTCAGCTTCAGCTTCGTGTCTGAAGAGAAGCCCTTCCTGCCAGCCTCAGGGAACCTGCTCCCCGCTCTCTGCTCCACTAACAGAGGCCTCTCAAAGCGTGAAAACGTACCTTTATTCGCGCATTTACGGAATCCCCGTGGGCGGGGACAGGGGTTCTGTCTCGTTCCCTGTACGTTCCCAGCCACCAGGGGCACACTAGCTTCGCCTTCCTGTGGGAAGGGCTTCCTGCACGGTGGGGAGCTCCTGTGGGGAGTAGACTTTCTCAACTTCCTGGGAGAATCTACCGGGTAGGGGGAGGCTAAAAGGCCCCCAGAAGCACTCCCTAGGCCCCACTTTCCTTGATGGCCCTTCCAAACACACCTTTCCTGCCTCTGCTGAATATCTCAAATGAGAGGCTGCCTAGAGAGCAAGTAATACCCCAAACCAGGGATGCCACGCCTGTAAAATATAGTCTGTTACCATGAAGAGCCATGGGTAGTCAGCACAAGGTCAAGACAAAATGCAAAACCCGAGCCATTCTTGCTCTACCAGTTCCAAACCTCTTGCTTCCATTTCAGTCACCCTTTTTTAAGCAAATCTTATATAAAATATGTTTCCCCTCCCATCATGAGGAGGATCCTGATAGTCCATTTCTTCGCAGTCGATTCACAGCAGCTATGCTCCCAAATCACGTGGTACCTCGAACATCCTAATGGTCAAATTCACGCATAACTCTTCACAAAGATGAAACCCAATGAACTCCCATCACTATCTTTCCTAAAACTGAACAAAGACAGCAAGAAGCATGCATCGGCTCCATGACACACAGACATTTTCACACTCAGCCATTGTGCAAATCAGCTGTGCCCATCAGTTCTCAGCGCGTGGCTGAGCACCGTGCCTGCTGGCCTGGCCGCTGGCGGGAGAAATCAACACAAATGCACGGCTCTAAGATTAAATGAAACTGCCCCTAGTATTTCCGTTAAGCTTTGGCAAGTCCCTGCAGGCCTTGCTGTGCTACAAGATGAGGCCACGGACACTGGTCACCACATGAATATACCAGCGCATGAGCACACATAAATGTCAGCATATAATCATCAGGGACCTTGATGTATAAAGAGTGTCCAGTGTGAGGTACTCCAGTGACTGAACCCATTATTCAGCCTCTGTGATTCCCTCCCTTCACCCTTCCTCTGCATCCCTCCCTGCCCCACCACACCCCGGAGGCCTGCCTGAGAATCAGGGGGAAGGCCAGAGCACGGGGGTCGGAGCTGGGCAGGTAGGCAGGGCAGGGAGCATGCCAAGCCTCACGGGCCTTAGCCAAGCATTTGTATTTCCTCCAAGTACAAAGGAAACTGCCTGGAGGGACTTAGGAGGCAAGGGTATGATGTAATTTACATTTTATAAAGATCGCTCTGCCTGTCTGATAATTTATGCCTTGGGCGTGTGACTGGATGGCAAACTCCTGGACGACAGGGCTGTAAGAGCGCAGCTGATGCCCCCAACCTGGGCACTCGCGGGAGTTTTGAACCAATAGTGTGTGACAGAATCGCCAGGAAGCGCAATCAAACCCAGCTTGTGGGACCTCCCCTGCAGAGTTTCTGATTCAGCAGGGCTGGTGGGGCCCCCAGGATGTCCACTTTGACCCAAGGGTGCCTGGTCTGGGTAGCGCACCTGGGCAGCCGGTGTGTAAATCTGTTTGCTGAACAAATCAGTCAGTGAAGGGACATGAGGCTGTGTTTTCAAGCAAAACATTAGGAACGTTCGGTGGTATGAGTTTGACCGAACATGGCTATCATTTCTTCTAATTTGCCTTTTTTTTTTTCTTAAATTATTCCTTTTGTCATATAATGTGATGGTGACAAGAGAACTGGACCCTACATGCCTAAGTATTCTGAGAGGAAATAGATCATTGTGATTAGACAAGAGGAGACACTCTGGAGACTACAAAACCGTGTTCAATTATGAATCCCATGTCATTCAGAAAATTCTCTTGGCAAAAGTATGCAATTTATTTGTGTAGGCAGGAATTACCGGCCTCCCTTCCAGAAAGGATATGAGGTGGTGAGCATCTGCTGGTATCATTCCAGAACTCAAAATTAAGTGAAACTTCCCTTGGATTTCAGGAAACAAGCTCCCAGTGGCCCATCCCCGTTTGGTCCAAAGCCCACAGTGTTGGTGAGTCTACTGACAATAAGGACAGGTGGTTCAAACTTTCTTTCTTGAAGGAACCCCCAAAGAGTTCAATTTAGGTGCTCATTATGCCAAAGCAGAAATTCAAATGAAGAATGTCAAGTAAATACGCAGAACCAATCACGAGAGAAACCCTTCAGACGTAGGAGAGTGGGCACAGACACCACCAAAGACGCGCCAGGGCTTCCTCTGCCCTCTCGCATGGGGGGCTGTGGTCTCCACGCGCCAACGGCCGTCCACCCAGAAACTGTCATGCAGCTCAACCAGCAACAGGGGGTCCGGACCCGGGACGGCTGGGGACTTGGGGATTCAGTGGGAAACCCTTCTGCCCAGGGCCTACAAGGTTCTGCTTGGGAAAAGCTCTCTCAGTCCCAGGGTTGTGTAGGGTTTTATTTAAACACTGAGGAGCAGTCCTGAATGAAATATCATCTATACAGTAGCTACTCAAGATCTCATGGTCTAAGAGGTTGACTGAGGCTAGGGGTGGGGAGAATCAAAACAAGAAATGCCCCTGAAAATCACAGGACTTGAAAACCAAATTATAAATATAACAATCACGAAATAGGAACCGGTGAATAAACTGTACTCTCTGTCCACACAGCAAGTCACAAACACGAGGCCAGTGTGACACTTTACATGGTGTGGATGAGGGATGTGGACTCTTGTTCCATGCTGATGAGAATCATGGAACAGTCTGGCTATGAATTAAATAGAAAAAGAGCAACCCCTACACTGTAGCAAAAAATAATATACATATGAGCCGCCACACCCAGGGCCAGGAAGTCTCTCTGCTGCCCAGCTCCCCATGGCATGTGCAGTTACCCACCTCCAAACGGGCCAGTGCAAACACTGGACCCGCTCTGGTGTTAAACTGCCACCGGATCCTCCCCGCTGTCTCCCTCCTCCTCTTCTTTACAGACAGGTCGAGTTGGATCTCTCGAAGAGACTGGGGCTCCCACTCTAGGCAAAGGTTGGACAGGTGATCAATGTACAGCATGAGATTTGACTGTGCCTCCGTGCCTCCGACAGAGCTGGATCATCTGGGGCAATGAAATTATAAGCAACAAGAAAGCGGTATTAACAGTAAGGGTCGGAAAGCACAGGCGACACACTCCGCGGGTCCCTAGGACAACCAGCAACCACGCCTTTCCTACTCAGTCGTTCCCAGCGCACTCATCCAGCCCTGCGTCAGGCTCTGGGATATAGTAGCAACAAATATACACACAAGTACTGCCCGCATGGAGCTTACGGGCTATTCAGGGCAAGGAGACAAGCGACTGAAGGACAGTGGGTAAAGGAACCTGGAGGGTCCCACAAAGCAAAGGCAGCCAGCCCAGATGGGGGTGGGTGGTCAGGGAAGGCTTCCTGGAAGAAGTGACAGTAAACATTGAGCCAGGAGGACCCACGGGGTCAGCCAGACAAGCTTGCAGTGTGTCAGCACGTGCAAGATTCTGAGATGAGAAAGCATTGCTGGTCTGAGGGGCTGGGAGCCCCTGTTCTCAGCCATTCTCCAGCCTGCAATCCTACACCCAATGAGAGCACCAGATTTGGAGTCTGCAGCACTCACCACACACCGTTCCCTGAAACCACACAATCCAGTCATGTTTTGACCTCTTCCAGTGGAAATCTCAAGAAAGAAAGGAAAGAACTTAGAAAATAGTTTGTTCTCTAAGAAGACATGAAAAAACAGTAACAATCTGGAGTTTGACTGCTACAGAAGAGACCCATTGCAGCGATTTCCTGCACACCTATTTTCTGCACACCATTGCAGCAATTTTCTGCACACCGGCGTCACAGGTAAGCGTCACAGGTAAGTGAGACACTCTGCTCACTCAAGACTGTGGAGGCAGGCTGCCGGACTGCAATTTGGCGTCACTAAATGGGACCCCCAAGGCCTCGTCCCTCCGGCTCGCTCTCTCTCACCGCTTCCTTCCTGTCCCTGGAAGGAGAAGCACCTGCTCCTCTACCTCTTGGGTTTGGTGTCTGAAAGGCTACCACACACATGACGCCTCCCACTTGCCTTCTGCAGCTAAAGAAAAGTAGGAAGCTATGAAGCCAGTCTTGTCAGACGCCTCCATGCAGGAAAACAACACAAAATATATAGAAAAACCTGACTCCCAGGAGCTTCAGTATTGCTCAGGGTTTTAGCTGCATTTGCAATGATGAAAGAGATCTTTGTAGGCACCGTTTAACACAGGGTAACAAGCACATGACCATTTTAGCAAAACACACAGTCCAAAGTCGCTTTCCTTTACATTTTCACATCATCATATAATTCAAATCCTGCAAACAACATCCCTGATTGAACACGGAAAGAAACAAAACCCTCGTTTCTGAAAAGCGAAGCAGGCAGGTATTTCAGAGACAAAGAAGGAGTGTCTTTAACCCGTGACAACACAATTCGTTCAGGTTTTCCCTCCACTAAGTAAGCAAGCAATTAGGTTTTTTCCAATAAAAATATCCCCATGCATGTGCAAACACTAGAGGCAATCATATAATTACCCTGCCCAATCAGATTCGATTGCTGACAGTTGAGTTCCCGCTACTCATTAATTTCAAGTCTCAATGAGGTCTTTGCGGACGCCCTTTCCCATCTCTTTACAAAGGATCCTATGATGCTCTGAGCAGGCCAGCACTACTTCCTATGGGGTAATCATCCTAACATGGCCAGGGCCAAGGCCAGCTGACTCTGACGGCCCTCTGTAAAAATAAAAAGAGGAATTCAAAGACACACTGGCTTAAATGCCATTGCTTCATTTGGGGAATCTTACTTCTAAACATAATAGTAACCTTTCACCCCCACACTTAAAGTGGCATAATTATATAATTAAAACCAATTATGTCATTTAACAGAGAGACCTTTTCAAGATCCACAGCAAGCCAATTACCCCCATCATTGACCTCAGAAGATTTCCCACACTGACCTGCAATAATGAAGACAGGGATAAATTTAGACACTGGCTTCTAAAGGCTGGCGTGGACGAACTGGGTGGGTTGTAGCTGACCTAGTCTTCTAGATTCTAGAAGCAAACCTGAGTTTGTTCACATCTAACACTGCTGGCCTGCCAATGGGTTTCAGCCCTGTACAAGTTCACTATGGATTCAATGAGACTGAAAAAATGACAGTGGAACGTTCTTGGGGTGAAAGGGCTTATGCCCTACTTTATTCCTATAATGGCAGGTCAGTCACTAGGATCCCGTCCACTCAGAGTAAGTCTGCAGGCAGCAAGCCGGTCGCTGCCTCTGGGCCTCTCCACCCCCACAGCCGTCTCAGTCTCTGTCCTCAGTGTTGCCACCACTCTAGTCTCTGTTCTCCTGCAGCCTTGCAGCCTTGCAGCCTTGCAGCCCTGCAGCCCTGCTGCAGCCCAGCACACTGGAAGGAGCTCTTTATACAGAGTCAATAACAATATATTGCCCACAGGTGTGCAGTGAGCTAGCCGACCAGGGCCAGGTGAGGATCCTGGCCACAGGAACCTTCACTTGATCCACACGCCACCCCTCCCTTGAGAGGATTCTTGCCTCTCAGTCTATGCGCCCTCAATCTTTTGCAATGGTCCCTGGGTGAGAAAGCTGGAACATTGTAAGCAAATTCCACAATAACAACAGAAGTTACAACAATATACAAATAACAGAAATTATAATATCCCTCCAGCCTGAGGAGATCCATTGCCACCAAGTGGTCATCCTAGCTGTATTCAAACCAGTCCTACTCACATGAGTTAATCGAAAGGACCGTGGGTGGGCCTTAAAATACCCACCTTCTCCAGCCTCTCCAGCAGAGAGTCTTGCAACACACAGGCCAGTCTGGTTGCTCTGTCTCTGGCTTCTGCTTCTCTGTCTTCAGTGTCCAGAACTGCTGCTCCAGTTTCAGTTGTTGCCACAGCTCCAGCAAGATTCTATCGCGGGTCTTCCTTTGTTTCTGGGGCTGACGGCTGCAGCACATCCTTCACCTGCCCCATGGCGCCTCACAGCCTGCGCTCTGGCGCTGCCACTTCCTGTGCCGCCTCTGCTACCATGACGTCCTTTACCATTTCCACAGCACCTCATAGTGATGTCATTTCAGTCATCAACAAATCCTTTGCTTCCTCTATGGCACCTTGCAGCTCACATTTTCATGCTCCCTGCAGGAGGGTGTCTTTCTCCCTTAGGGCCTTTCTCAGTACTGTGCCCACAGTTCCTGCAGCCTCATGGGCACTGTTTCTTTAAGGAATTCCCCATTTTGCTAAGGGCCGATTTTATGGCCTCAGGCGTTTCCTCCACCTCTTTCCGATCTTGGGGTGGGTCTCAGTCCCCTAGGGGACAAGCCACCTCAGACCACATGTCCACTGGGGGACATGCGAACGTCTCCCCATCCATAGGTGCTGCCCACTGAAACACTCCCATGAGGGCAGCCTGTTCCGTTCTTGGGGCTACAGTGAATCCTGCCGACTATGCCAATTGTCTTGCCAATGGGCTTCAGCCCTGGGGCAGGTTCACTATGGATTCAGTGAAACCAAGGAATGACAATGGAATGTTCTTGGCATGAAAGGATTTATACCCAATTTTAATCCCACAGTGGCAGGTCAATCACTAGGATCCCGTCCACTCAGAGCGAGTCTGCATGCAGCACGCCGGTCTTGGCCTCTGGGCCTCTCCACCCCCACAGCCGTCTCAGGCTCTGTCCTCAGCGCTGCCACCACTCCAGCCTCTGCTCTCCTGCAGCTGTGCAGCCCAGACCACTGGGCGGAGCCCTTATATCGAGTCAGCAACAATGTATCACCGACACATGTGTAGCGAGCAAGCCAACCAGGGCCAGGTGAGAATCCTGCACATAGGAATCATCACTTTCTCCACAACTTCCAATAACTTATTTGCACACCCCTTCCAAAATACCAAAACACTTGTTTATTTTTTTTATAACCATCCAAACAGTTTTACTTCCATGTTGCAGGTGAGAAAAAGGAGGCAGGGAAAGTTATGGAGCTGTCTTAGGTAATGCAGATATTAACCACAAAGCCAAGGCAAGGACCTGGGGCTTCTGCCCAGAATCCAAAGCCCCTTAACAGCAAGTAGAGTGTATGTGTTTATTCTCTTGGGCATCTATTTCTCCTGTTTTAATGATCTTACCCCCCTTTCCCTTGGAAGTAACACATCTGCCCCAAATTCAGCTCCTGTACATCTCACCAGGCTGTCTAGCTCGGGGGGGCTGCCATAACCTTGGCCTCACAATGAGTTCCTAGGATTCCCGTAGCCACAACATTGTTTTCAGGGATGACCCCTCAAAACCAATGAGACATACTGAGTCTTTGCCGACAGCCTCCGGAAAGTGACCCACTCTTCCTAACTGGGTTTGCAGGTGACAGGAGGCACCATCTGGTGGTTGAACAGCCTTCTAGGTACCACGGAAGGAGAGCGAATGCAGTCCAGAGACGCAGAGAGAGAAACTGTTGTGTTGACACGAGCGGCCTTTAGGACATGGGGTCATCTGATAGCCCACTGCTGAAAATAGGAAGAATGCCGCAGCCTGCGGCTTGGGGAGGCCTGGTTACAGGGATGGAATTAATCGACCGTGGCTCTGAGCAGGCACCCTGCCTCCCGCTCACAAACCAGTTAAATGCCTCCAATTTTTGAGTTATTTAAAGAACATACCATTTTATGGGCAGCAGGAAGCACTTTAACCTGCAAAATGATTTTTATCGCAAACTAAACATCCTTGTAAGTTTTTGGTCCTCTGCTTTGGTCAACGTTGTCTCTCCCTGGAGTGGAGACAGCTGTTAGCATGGAGAAGACCTGCCTCGACCTTGCACTTTGCCCTGTTCACGGGGACCCCTGTGTCTCCAGTTCCTGGGTCTGTGTGGGATGCAAGAACTCAGGACACTTGTACTCTTCAAAATGGAGCATTCTCCTTCTTGTCTCCTTTTTCCCAGACCCTGGGGGGGGCAGGGGAGAGCAAGACTTCCTCTAACTCAGGATTGTTAGCCTCCGTACTATGGAAGTTTGGGGGCAGATGATTGTTGGGCTGCCTTAAGCATTATAGGGGGTGTAGCAGAGTTCTCTGGCC